GTAACATCAAAACGAGTAACAAACAGGAACTAAATATATATAATATATAAACAATATTGAATGTATCGCGTTTTCCAAAAAACACACGTCTTCGTATAATCACCATGTATACGTCTTCCGTCTTTTTGAATAAAAATGCTCGATGTCTAAATGAAATATACTGCTACGTTTTAATCAAACCTCTTAGTTTCTTGCTCGCCTTTCACTGCCGAGGTGGTCCCTCACGTACCCCCAATATGCACGTAGGTAAAAAAGAGAATATTGATTTACCACCGCCTAAACTGGTAATATTACTCTTGCACTTGGGCAAGCAAAAAACTGAATAATATACTGAGCCAAATCCTGTATGTATATTGTAGATTTTAAAATTCTGTGTAATTAAATCCTTCATGCTTTCTAAGTCTCTTCTTCTGAATGCGCAACTTTTATGTGTTTTTTATTCCAACTCATACTGTTCCTCTAATGCATGCACATTATTTAGTAATTTATTTATTTATTTATTTTTTAGTCTTAAGTAACCTATAACTTTAGCACTTTGCTAAAAATATTGAATAAGAAATGGGTGACTCTAATCGTAGGTAAATCAATGAGAGGTGGATTATAGTTCTCCTACTAGTAATATTTTTTATTCTATTTCATTACGACAACCTAACTGAAGTCGCAATGCTACCTTCTCGATTCAGGTACCTAGTTAACGTAAACTTATTTATTATTTGTATGTAATATATTAAAATATAAAGTCACTAGATTAGAATGTTAATAATTCTGTAGTTCTATGAGACACTTATTAACAATTTTTCAAAGTGTAAATCTTAGATTTAGCAAAATGTAAAATTTGCTCAAATAAAAAAAAAATCAAAAATACAGTATGTTTAAAAACCTACACCATTTACCAATGATTTGTTAGTGGTCTTTGATTACCTACTGATTGAATATAGTTAGGACGTTCGCAATTGGCTTATCCGCAATAAAACTGTCACATTTACTTTCTTCTTTCAACTTACTAACTAGACTAGAGCTAACAGAACGCCTTCTCAAGACAGACGTTGTAGGGAATATCGTAAACATAGAAAAGAGATGTCAGGTAGGAATTGCAGCGGACATCAATAAAGAAAAACCAGTAATATTACGCCATAGATGCGTAACCATTATCCATACACCAACGTGGATGCTAAGTACCAAAAATAGTAGATCTTCACACCATCACCTACTGCTTAATTTTTTTGTTGTTTTGTTATCTGATTTAAGTACAAATTGATATTTGCTATTCAAGTAAAACCGAACAACTTATAGACAGATCGTCAAACATAAGTAACTGACAGAAGCCATCTAATGAAGGCTTAACTTTTCCTTTTAAACTATCTCAGACTTGTCACAAGGCAATTTATCTAAGCGGGGTTTTTTTATGTCGCACTGCCATAATATTAGCGGCAGAGGGATTGAAAAATTTCAAGTTTCATTTCATTTAAATGAATTCGCAATTTCGCTACTTCAAGGAAAATATGTTAATGTAGAATAGCAATATTACACAAAAACCACAATTTTGAATTTTAAAACAAGTAAAAGCTCTCTTTAGAAGAAGGAACCTTCATTTTATCATTCCTACAAGATGTTTAGAAACGCTAAGATCAGCGAAATTCAGGATTGAAGAGAAAAAAAATGAGAGGCATTTACAACGTAATTTGCGAAGTGCGAATCTGGATTCAAAAGTGCCTCACCACGATAATATTTTAGGATAATCTTATATTAAAAGCGCATTTATTTATTATTTTTTGATTTCAAATATCAGTACTGTATCAATATGCATGTAAAATAACTGCAACAGCAATTCAATAGAAGCTAACCAATACTATAATTAAATAACTTAATTTACTTAATATTTTGTGCCAATATTATATCGCAAAATTCATTTTCATATTCAAATTCATACGAACGGTTAATTTAGAAATTCGAGAAAGGTTGTTAATGACTTATGTTTGGAGCGCGGCGCTGTACGGGTGCGAAACAAGGACAGTGGGCGCGGCGAATAAAAAAAAGGTAAGAGCATTCAAAATGTGGTGTTACAAGCGAATGATAGGGATACTGTGGATAGAAAGTTAGAAATGAAGAGGTATAAGAGAGAATAGGAGAACAGTGGATTCTATGGAAGTCAAAAAAGAATTTAAGCGAGTTAGGTTGGTAGGACACCTTCTCAGGCATGAAGGTCTAGTTTTAGAGACACAGGATTATCCGTAAGGCAAAGTAGGCATATGCCTAGAGGAGCAAGGTTAAATAAAGGGGCGCGCACGGAAGTTTTTAAACCTAAAAAAAAGAAAACAAGGAAGTACCTAATAAAAAAGAGTATTTTGCAAAATATATGACAGCCAGAGGGGCGCCTATGAGGTGCTAGCCTAAAGCGCTCTCGACATTTAATCCGCCTCTGTAGAGACATTTTGGAAGCATAAACAGGGGTTAGGCGGGGTAGAGGTAGATCTAAATTAGATTACTGTTCGCAAATAGTTAAGGATATGGGTTGTTCTGGTTTTGGGAAAATGCGAAGATTAGCTCAGGATAGGAAAGAGTGAAGATGCGTGTCCAATTAGTTTTAGAACTGACGACCTTATGGTGATGAAAATTCATAGGTATGTAGGCTTTTTTCTCTTCTTATCTAGGGGTTGTTCAAAAAAAAGGCTCCGGGTAGTTAAATACATATATAATAAAGATAATAATGAAGATAAACAGTAACATCAAAACGAGTAACAAACAGGAACTAAATATATATAATATATAAACAATATTGAATGTATCGCGTTTTCCAAAAAACACACGTCTTCGTATAATCACCATGTATACGTCTTCCGTCTTTTTGAATAAAAATGCTCGATGTCTAAATGAAATATACTGCTACGTTTTAATCAAACCTCTTAGTTTCTTGCTCGCCTTTCACTGCCGAGGTGGTCCCTCACGTACCCCCAATATGCACGTAGGTAAAAAAGAGAATATTGATTTACCACCGCCTAAACTGGTAATATTACTCTTGCACTTGGGCAAGCAAAAAACTGAATAATATACTGAGCCAAATCCTGTATGTATATTGTAGATTTTAAAATTCTGTGTAATTAAATCCTTCATGCTTTCTAAGTCTCTTCTTCTGAATGCGCAACTTTTATGTGTTTTTTATTCCAACTCATACTGTTCCTCTAATGCATGCACATTATTATAAATAAGCGTAATTCCCGCGGTTATATGAATGCTTTATCGAACAATATTAAACTCAGAGAGAAGGTAAATTTTTCCTTATTGATTTGCTTTAGAAAGTTCACAAAAATCCTTTCTAAGGATGTCGAAGTTCCCCTAGTTTATAAAATTTTATATAGGAAAAAGCTCAAACGGTATAATGAGCTGATTAATTTTTTTTCTGCAGCGTTTTATATTTCTACTACGATATATTAGACTCCAACAATCAAAAATGGTATGCGCTATTAAAAGCGATATGTTTATTTTCTTTTGGCTCATAGCTTAGCATCTTGTCATGTTGACTTTCGTAAAAAGAAAATATCCACTGTCAGCAAGTATTGAAAATTGGCACGGAAGTGTGGCTTTTCAAGAAAACTGGAGACAGTTCAAGACTATTTTATCCAACTGACTGATATAAACAACGATATCGTTTGCTAGAAAACTATTTTGCTAGACAAACTTATGCGTATCTTCAAAGAATATCCACATTATTTAAATTGCAACATATATAGCTAGCTTTAGGGGTAAAAATAGAAAAAACGATAGAAAAAGAAAAGAGTGCGTATATAGGATTAGTAGATTTAGAGAAAGCTTTTGACAATGTTAAATGGAACAACATGTTAAAGATACTCAAAAATACAGGGATAAGATACAGACATAGAAGAGTGACATGGTTTGTATAAAGAGCAACAGCAATGTAAAAAACTAAAAAGTATTATGTGAAAATAAATAAAAGTAAAACAAAAATACTGATATTCAAGGGAAGAAAAAGTAAGAAAACAGCCAATATAAAGACATGAGACGAAAAGTTAGAAGAAGTGGCTAATTTTGGGTATGTAGGTCAGATAACTCAGGATGGAAGAAGCATCATAAAACAGAGGATAGCGCTGGTCTGAGTCGCCTTCAACAAAAAAAAGTTACTTCTACGCTCGCGAACGATTAATTTAGAAATTCTGAAAAGATCGTTAAAGGTATATGGCTGAGCGCAGCGATGTACGGATGCGAAACATAGACAGTGGGCGCAGAGCAAAAAAGAAAAAGGTTAGAAATGAAGAGGCATTAAGAATAGGAGAACAGAGAACTCTATGGAAGTCAATAGGAAATAGGTGAGATATGTTGGTACGACACCTTATCAAGGATGAGGGGCTAGTTAGAGAAATATTAAAAGCATAAACAGGAGCAAATAAGGAGTAGAGGTAGACCTAAATTAGATTAATGTTCACAAGTGGTTAAGGATGTAGGATGTTTTAGTTTTAGGGTCGAAGATTAGCTCAGGATAGGAAAGAGTGCAAGTGTGTTCAACCACTCTTAGGACTGAGGACCTTATGGTGATGATGTATATATTTTCAGACGGGACTCATCTTTTGGGATAGGGGGTGTTGAAGTAGGATAGTCGGTATTTAACTTATAACAGCTTCTGCTGTACGCCAACTTAATATTGTACAGCTAGTTGATAATTTTTCCTTTAATAAAATTTACACCTTTTTTTTACTAGTTTTATTATTAAAGGATCGAGACTATTCACAATTAAAAATATGTACAACTATTGTAACTTAAATAACTAAATGCGTATTATTGAGAACCGTGCTCACTGATGTATTTTGATGAACTCTGGTTAGAAAATTTTGGACATGTATTTAAATAAACGTGAAAGAGAAGAACAATTTAAGATAGATAGAGATAGAATTAGAAACTAGTATGAAAAACTTTACAGCAAATGACTGCATTTCAGGTAAATGTGATAGGTACAATTGAAAAGGTTATGAGAGGAAAATACGGCCCTAATATGATTTTAACGATGAGTCAGGTAAACATTGAATAGGTTACTATTGTATTATGAATTCCNCGCTCTCAGAGACTGTGAAAGACTGTGAGAGACGCTCTCAGAGACGCTGAAAGACTCTGAGAGACTTAAGAGAGATTAAAAATTTTTGTTCAGGGAAGCGATAAATAATTTCTGAACTGCTGTCCTTTATTTTTATTGAAGTTACTTTTTGTTATTATTACTAAACTCCCTTTTTATAAACTATTAGAGTAATCCGAGGTCTCCCTCGACAAAAAAAATCTGTTTTTATTGAATATTAATGGAGCATAGCTATAAAAAATTAATGTCCAAGCTTACTAGAGTCATCAGTTTTCATTGCCTCTCTGCTCTTTATATTCAATTGGAATTAAATTGTTATAATATTGATTGGAATTCAATCCAAATTAATGATAAATAATTTCTGAACTGCTGTCCTTTTTTTCAATTGAAGTTACTCTTCGATGTGTTTATTGAATATTAATGGAACATAGTTATGGTTATTCAATTTCAATGATTTGGTTTTGCACCTACCGAATTCCTAAGTAACTTTATATCTATTAGGAGAGACACCAGCAACACAAAGGAAATAATTTTCACGTGTTGCTTAACAAATAACTATGTGTACTGTGGCTTAAAATAATCAACATATTTTATAACATCTACATCATTACTACACTATACGTTATTGGGGTTTCCAAGTCCTTACGACCAAGTCACCGCGCGCTCCTTAAGATCCGGATTGACTTTCGCTTTCACCGGGCAATGCCCGCTGCAATCACTCATCCAACGTATTGTTATCTAACTCGGGAATACCCATTTCATTTGGACCACCAACAATAACAATGTAATCCCTTATACATAAGTGCCTATAAAACGCTTTTCAGCTCAATGTTCTGTTCAGTCGAATATATTTTCGTATCTAAGCAACGTATCAAAAGCGTACGTAATATAACTTCGTAAGGACTCATCGAACGACGTCTCGAACTTGCTTTAAGTGTTGAAGTCTTTGATCACGTTCTCGACGGTAGTTTACAGTTATCGTGACCCGACTTTGTTCGAAAGAAACGTTACTGAAAACGCTTAGAAGAGGCACTGAACGGTCGGCCGAAGCGGGTCTTGTTAATCAAGGAATTTAATAATAAAAGCCGACTTTTGAACAGCTTCGCAATGTTTCATAGTACGAAGTGGTTGTTTCTTGTTACCGGCGTGTCATTAATAGCGCTGCGATCAGCACATGAACGGGAGCAACGTGTTTTTAAGGACGACGAAGGACCGAGACAAGGTAGAAATTTAATTAATAGATATCTTTTAAACTATTGAGAACGATTGCTTACGAATTGTAATTGTTTTTGACGTCAACTTTGTTTATTCTTAAACAAAGAGAGAAAAATAAGTTTAAATAAAAACCATCCATTAGCTCTGAGGTGTAAGTATGGATTGAGAAAATGCCTTGACGATTAGAATTTTCCTTTTTATATGAGGCGTACTACTATTCCCACCTTATGCATTTATAATCGGAGAAAAAAATTAAAAAAAACAAAAGACAATAAGCTTTATAATTATTTATAAGACAGTAAAAAGTACTCCGTTTAAGACTTTTTCAAAAATTTTAGTGTTTAGTATTTGTTTTTTCGATAGTTAAAATGTTTGTTAAATAATTGATCCAATCCACTTCTGGTTACCTTCATATGTAATCGATTAAAATATCTTACAAATAACAAATGCAATTTTATAAACTCTAATGCAGGAAGGGACCTTTTGGACTGGATAGGCCTTGGAACAGGCCCTGATGTTGATCCCTACTTAGCCAAAGCCAATGCTGAATGTCTTAATGGAGATCTAGCTGAATGTTTTAAATCAAGAGCATTACAATCGTTGGACGACTTTTTCGATAAGGTACGATTAAAGTTTGAATAATTAAACATTAATGAGAAAATTAATTTTTCAATTTTTTACCCATTATAAACTACCTCACGTTAATGCGGCAAACTTTGTCTCGAGTCCGATTCCCGGTGAGGGTGTGACAAATTTTCCCTCATTAACCTGAGATACTTTATAGTGGGTAAAAAATTGAAAAATGAATTTTCACGTTAATATTTAATATTAACCGCTATTAAATGTCAAAGTGTTTAAATAATTATCTATCTTTAGATTTATTCAGATATTTTTATAGATACAGCAATCATTATTTAATTAAGTTATTTTTAGTAATGAATTCAATATCGAATACAAAGTATTTTTGTTGACCCTTATTCCCATATTTTATATTCATATTTTTTAAAATCCAACTATAGACGCATTCTTTTCAGTCGAGCTTGTTAAGTACATCTCTTGTTATACCTAAGTAAACATTTTTTCACTCTCATATGTCCCACATATAGAACTTTCTTCGATTAACACCTAGTTATTTTCCTAGTGCATGTCTTCATTCCTGATATTATTTATTAAACGAGTCGAAATTGACAGAATTAAAAAACGGTTTATCTAGTGTGAAATCAATATTTATTTATGTAATCCTAATGAAAGAAAATCAAAATTACTATGAAAGGTTTTCATTATCTCTCCATAAAAGACAACGTCGTGACAGTACTACTACAGGCTTATAAGTTGCACCAAAAAAGACTCATGTTCCAACGAACAAGGTCATTGTCTAAATTGCGACACAACTATTACGAAAAATTTAGTTCTTTACATAAAATTATAGTTAACGAAATTAAAATGTTGAGTAATCTCATAAAAATAATGAAATTGTGGTACCGTTTTTTAGTAGGTACGTATTTATCAAAAGAAAAGGGGAATGAATGAATTCAAAAGGTGCTGATGTACCATATAAATATATAATTTGTTTTGTTACTGTAAAGGCAGGTAAAGAAAGTGAACATACACACACTATTACAAAACATTTTAACCAATTAAATTAAAGAAAATTGCTAAAAATTTCGACCACATGCAATACTAGTAAAATTAATTTTAGGCATGAGGAAGAGTATGCGACTTTAGCGTTGAAACTTATCGTTGAAATTGTAGTGTCATCTTGAAATATTAAAAAAAGTTTTCATGTTTAAAAACTTCGTTTTGTCTACTGTACGGTTGATATTCGTTAAAAACAAAGAATTTAAAGATGTGTTTTTGTCTTAATTTTTTAAAATAATGGGTAATACAATGAGAATTACATTTTATTTGTCTAAAACCCTGTGATAACAATTTATTTCATTTGAGGTTTATGAAGTCTTAATGCAGAATATACGTCGCAGAAACACTACAAAACTATGCATCATCTGCGAAAACCTTCAATCAAATTCTTATTTAATGTTTCTTCTTTTTTATTTTAGCCGGTTTATTATCTTACCGAGAATGCCAGAATTACACGCATGCCCGAATCTCAACTTCGAAGTGTGGCCAGAGAACCCTACGAATTTTCAGAAGCACCCAGATCTGATGAACCAGAATGGGATCAGTTAGTCAAATTTGTTCTCAGAAAAGTAAGAAAATGATCTAACCTCTTATCATTGCCGACTGCATATTTAATTTAAATTCTAAATAATTCTGTTATTTTATTTCTACTAGGTAAATTTGCAATTCTAATTATGAGTTGCATAAACCGTTCTTATTTATTTATTTTTATTAAATATGAGCCTTCCAAACGTTTTCGATAAAAGGAAACTGAATTTTTTGAAACCAATCCAAGCCATTTGGTAAAATTAAATTGCTTCTACGTTTGAGTCAATATCGATCTTGTGAGAATTCATATAGTTGTTATAAACTCGCTGCGTAAAAACTTATGGCAGGATTTCTCAATTACGTAGAATCCTTTGAAATTCGTAGAGCACAAAATGGGATAAGATATAAGTTTGTTTCTTCGGTATTCAATTGAACTTCTTCCTGATATACGCATTCTCCTTTGTAAATATTTTTTAAAGAATCAAAATCTCAGTAAACGAAAAACAAATAACAAAAGGAAGAAAACATAAATTTGTATTGACATACAGATTCCAAAGAAAAACCTTTTCCAACGATTAGTGGAACAATTGCCTCATTCTTAGTCAAAACTTATTTTGTTTGTTTTGTCAATAGGTATAAAGATATCTGGAGCTTTCTTTCTTTTATTGACACCGTAATTAATAGTTTATTTTAAAATTGAAACGTAATTCCTGTTCTGGCAATAACTGCAAAAGAGCAACTTATAAAGAATCTAAACATTAATCCACTGCGAGTATTTTGTATGACAAAATGTGATATGTGAAAACAATTAATTAATAAGAAAGTTATGCCGTTTCCTGTTTGCTCCAATTGGATGCTTCAACAGAACGTTAATTATTTCTTTTGTTCATCCCTTTTTTCAATTATCTAATAAATTTTAAGAAACAGGGGTATATGATGGGCCAAAAAATACATAATTTTAGGCATTGTATACTTCATTAGTTCCAATTTGGCTATAATGCAACAGAATATCATAAAAATTTGTGTTTCATTCTTACACAATTTAATGTTAAAATTCAGATGATCTAAAAATGGTGAGGTAAAATAAAGCTTCAAGGTATAAACGTAGCACTGGAAAACCAAAAGAGCTTGATAACACAACAATTGAAAACCACTTCAACAAGTTTTGTGAAAACAATATGGCAGATGAAAATTCAATTACTTCTTCCTTACTTTCCCGCCATCTGCACAATTTCTGGATTGCCTGGTGATCGGTGATGAAAAGTGGGTTATATATGACTATGTAATGAGAAAAAAAGTGTAGGTAATGCCAGATAATTCTACTCCCGCCTTTGCCTCAAAAAAACTAATGATTTACATTTGGTGGGATTGTCAAAAAGCTGCTGCAACAAGATAAATCTCTGCCACAGTATACATGGTTATATTGCGAACAGCTAATCAGACTGTATACAAAAATAGTTGAACTTCACCCAACACAGTACAACCAAAAAGGTTTTGTCAGACCTCATGTAACTTTAAAGAGGAAAGGAAGCTCCAGAATCCTGGCTATAAAGTTTCATTACATAATAATGACCATACCTTGTGTAAATGTAAAACTTTCTTAAAGGAAAAAAACGAAAATTTGTAGATGTTTAAAGGACAGCAGTTGATTTGTTGGTTTAAAAGGGTAGGATCTTTTGTACATCTGGAATAATTAACCTTGTTAATAAGTGGAGCAAGGCCATATAATATTTCATTAATTAATTTCACTCAGCTAATATAAGAAATTTCTTACTAACCTTTATATTCAAATGTCAAATTAATGTATTTTATGTTTATAAGGTGGAAAGGTTCATGAAGTCTAGTGCGATTGAAGTAAAATTTAATGACGAAGTAACTGAGAGAGGACGTTATTCGCCCCGCTTCATAGACGAAATTGCTGATGAAATAGATGTAATTGAAGACAAAAAGGATTCTTATTTCAGTAAGCACCAATTTATTAGTTCTATTAACTTAATATTGATAATGAGTACTTCGTACTTTAATTAATGCATTTGTCGAATCGATTCGATTTATTTTTAGCGGTATCCTGTTATTATTAAGGGGACAGTGTGTCCTTGTCAAGACGACTATTACTTGGATAATTATTTCAAATATCTTAGACATTAATTACTTCACTCGAAAACGAAAATCACTACGTTAAAATGTTTACAATTTTACTTAAACAATGTTTCTAATTTTCTTGTAAAACACAAACTCGTTCTTGGTCTACGATGAGCTTCAGAAAAACATGCGCAACATAGTTGGACCTACTACTCTTTACAATAACTTAGGATACCTAAAGTATACATATATTTTCTTATTCAAAACTTATAATACTGTTTGTATGCAATTAAAGTGCCACAAAAATCTCACCCGTTTACGTCTGAACGACTTTTTTGATTATTTATCACTATATTAGGATTTTTGAAGATATGTAATATACGGGATGTGCTTTACCTTTTGAGTTTTTTACCAATTTAAAAAAATTAAAAGGGCAAAAAGGACCAATCGCGTCTCGACATTTTTTCAGGACTCATCCTCATCACCATCAAAAGGGTCGTCAGTCCAAAGACTGATTAGATAACTATCTCTATTACTTCCTAACTTTATCTTTCCATTTCCCGAAGACTAAAACATATGTCACACCTCTAATTTTCTGCTAGATCTTCCTCTGTTTACATCTGTTGTAATATCTCTCTAACCAACGCTTCACGTCTCAGGAGGTGCCCCATCATCCTACTTTTCCCATTCGTTATTAACTTTCAAATCATCGTCTGTTCTTCATATCAACGGTATTTTTCATCATTCTCATAATAAATCACATTTCAAACGCGTCTAATTGTTTACCTAATTTTAGAGCTTCTATCCCGATGTATACCTACACTTTTAAAACTCTTTATCTAATTTCTAAAATAATTGTTCGTGAGCACCGAAGTGATATTTTGTTTTGTGTCTTTATGCCTTTTCCATATAATTTTTATACTAGCTCTAACCCTATCTTTACCTTCCTTACAGACCTTTATTTTTATATTATCTTAGTTCATGCTCTTCTGCCAATACCACTTTCAATTTGTTTAAGGCTGTCTCTAACTCCTTCCTGCTAAACGCTAATAGTGCTATATCATCGATAAATCTACGCATTATTATCTTTTGCCCTTGTAGATCTATCCTTAAGGTTGTTCTGTCGTTAATAATGAGATAATTCACACCTTAGGTAAAATATGTTAAAATTAGCAGTGGGAAAGTGCAATTTGCCTGTTTTCTTTTCTAATATTAACTTCTCTACTTTGTTGCTCCAAATTCTGTAAATGTCTTTATATCCCCTGCACCTCATCACTAAGTTTTTAAATAAACTTACCTATTGTAAATGTATATTTTCTATCACATTGAAAGGGGCTAAAATTCGAGAAGATTAAAATGTACGTTACTATAGTATGAAAGATAAATAAATTCAAACTTGTGAAGGTTCTTCTTTTTTAATTAAAACTGCATCTACTGCTTGTATTGTTACTTAAATCTTTATTTTATTATAAACGTCTTCAAATGTCCTTAATCCTCGGTTATAGGAGAAAGTATTTGCTTTTCGTAAATTTATTTTTGACAACAATAACAAGTCACCCTCTTTCGCAAAAACTTCCAATACTTTTTACAATGCAGATGTATATTTTTCTTTTTACAGAACGAAAACAACTCAAAAAGCTGTTTATTCCCATGCTTATAATTTTGAAGCTTTTTAAGTTAAAGCTGTTGTTGTTCTTGCCTTTAATATTGGGACTAGCATCGTTTAAAAAATTGCTGGGTTTTCTTGCTATCGTCATCCCAGGATTGATAGGATTTTTCAAATTGTGCAAGCCTCATCTACAGTCGTCATTCAGCCAAAGCGGATTTGCACCCCACTATTCTTCAGGTGGAATCGGTTTTCAGCCCCACTACAGAGATCCACAACCCACTTTCCTTACTGATGAACATTCGTACTATAATCACGACAAAGGACTTGCATTTAAGGAGGATCCACAGGAATTGGCGTACTCCGGTTATTCACATTATCGAAATTCAGGAGGTGACGTTGCTGCTATTGGTAACGAAAACACTTCCAAAAAGTCAATATTGCCGGATTCTTAGAATATAAAGTCTTAAGAAGAAGACAAATGATGTAGAATGTATGTGATTTGTTGTTTTTTATTACGCTTAATATTGTAATTTATTTAATAGGGTTAAGAGAATAGTATTGTATTATTTTGACTTATATTAAAATAATTTAATTTTTATCTTCCCTCAACCTTTATAGTAACGCTGGCCTTGCTACATGTTATTATCCTTTAGTTGGCAGAAATCTACCTCAAACAAAAAATACGAATAAATTTGAACTTAATTTAATGAAAATAAGGAAATAATTAATTAATTTAATATTCAATCAATTAACCAGCAGGTAACGATCAGTGAAATAGGATTTAACATAAATAGATATTTATGGTTTTGTTTTTTGAATGCCTTCACATTCGTCAGGTCAAATCGACTTTGTTGAATAATTATCTTTCAATCGAAAAGGTTCTCGAATTACTATCGTCTGATTTGCGAACACGTTTTTTGATGAATTTGTCACTTTTCTTTTCATTAAAATAGTCCTTTTAATGAAATAACGTGTTACAAACAGTTGCCATTCTGGAAGCGTTTTTGATAGCTGTTAGCACTTTTGCACTGAGGAATTAATTTTGACAGAAGGACTCGCAAATGTATGCTGTTTCGCTAAAAGGTCAAGCGCATTCTGTAAAGTTGGCTGCAGTGGTGTAGAAAATTAAACTACCATTAATTCGGTAATTTTATAGAAAATCTACATGACATTCCTGTTGACTTTCGAGTTCTGTTCTAAGGAGATCTCGACATTGTCAAGTTGTTATCTCATGAGGTAGTCAGTTCTAAGCAAACTCACTTCACCGATTTGGGAAAGTTAAACTCCAGTTGCACTATACAACAAAATATTTAATATGGATTTTGATGTAGGTAATGCCTTCTTTAAAAATTATTTTGATTTTAGCTTAGAACGGCAGATCTAAACTCTCTTTATTTCATTCATATGGATATCCATTATGATTATATTCAGAAACTTTTTGCCTGTAATTCGCCTCATCAGCATAAGGTCGTCAGTCCTAAGACTGGTTGGACACGCACCTCTACTCTTTCCTATCCTGAGCTAATCTTCGCATATCCCTAAAACTAGAACATCCCACATCCTTAAATATTTGCGAACAGTAATCTAACCTAGGTTTACCTCTACCCCTCCTAGCTTCCGTTAGTTGTTTTCTATGTCACTAAACAGATAAACAATTTATCAATTTAACACTTTTATTGTACAATTACGAAGCATCTTGCGGACTGCCATTGATCCCCGAACTCCAACTGATATCGTTTAAATCGTCTAAAGCAGATTCCAAAGCAGAAACGCGTGGCTCAACACGCGTATTATTTTTGCCACTAAATTATGCAAACATTGACGGGCCCTAACCCTGAACTGAACATAATACAAAGCTCACGAAAATTTCTATAGAGCTCTTGATCCCATCAGATGGATTCAAGAGCCTAATAAAAGAATATAATTTGTAAAGTACTCAATCCGCTGAAAGGATGCTGTAAATCGATAAATATAAAACAATAGTAAATTTCCGCTACAACCCTTCTTGTACCTATTATAACCCCCTCATCTACAACACAACAACAAACACAGTGTTTATTATTTTATTGTATATATTTCTAATAATTATATCGCATCCTCGAGTAGAAGAATATTTTTTTCAATTGGAGCCATTTTCTGAAAAAATAATTGTTGCGAATATTTACAATAATATAGTTTTGTAACAAAAAATCGTGTCTATTTACAGTACAATATATCGCATCCTCGAGTGGAAGAATATTCTTTGCAATGAAGCCATTTTCTGAAAAAATAATTGTTGCGAATATTTTCAACAATATAATTTTGTAACAAAAAATTGTATCTATGTACAGTACAATATAACTAATGAATTTGAAACATAAAGCGTTTTTTGGGCGAATTTCTTTCTAAATTCGTTGATTTTGCTACTTCAGAAAAACTATGTATGACAGCAGGGTAATTATGAGTTTGATATCAACGTGTACAAGCTGAAATAGATGAGAAAGTTCAGTAATAGTTACTGTTTGTAATTGCCCATTCATCAAGAAAATTTCCGGTTCAATTTCTTCCTCGCATACTCATTTAAACCAAAAATTTATAGAAACTTCTTACTTGCAAAGACTTTAGCAAAAGCTGACAGAAAGTTAATGATTTCCCTGCGTACCATTGATAAAATACATACGTATAATGCTGGTATAGCCTCCAATAATCTATAAGTAACCCCTCAAATGAGCCAATAACTGAATTTTCAGAATCTAATCGAATACTAACCGCATCGTGGTGATGAATTTTAAAATTGGACTGATCAGTCTTAATAAAAGTCTTAAGTTAATATTCTACTCCTATGATTAAAGTTTTTACTAATAACAGCTGATTTTCTGCTGTTTGAACTTTTAAAAAAATACTTTTATAATTTCGTCATTCAAGTGAAGCATGGCTTATAAATTTAGTTTTTAGGTTCATCATCATAAGGTCATCAGTCCTAAGACCGATTGCACACGCATCTTAACTCCTTCCTATACCGAGCTAATTTTCGCATTTTCCTAAAATTAAAACATCCCACATCCTTAACTATTTGCAAACAGTAATCTAGGTCTACCTCTACTCCTCTTAACTCCTATTTCTGTCTTTAATGTCTCCAACTAGCCCTTCATACTAACCTACCTCTCCTATTTCTTAAAGACTTCCATAGAGTCCTCTGTTCACCTATTCTTTCTAATACCTCTTCATTTCTAACCTTCTCTATCCACGTTATCCTCATAATTCGCCTGTAACACCACATTTCGAACGCTTCTAACCTTTTTTTTCCCTCCGCATACACCGTCCATGTTTCGCAAGTTGTTAGGTTATATTTATAGAAATTATTTTTAATTACTAACTGACATTACTTCGAATTTTGTGGTTTTCCACAAAACCTTTCAACGATAATTAACCATTTCAGTTGCAAAAGGGTAGAATACTTACAATGTGTCAAAAACAAAGCAACGGCGTAATTACTGCTCTTTTACGGAAGTGGCATAGTCCTTGCATTAATGTTGCGTCTAAAGTTTTTGTAGGTTTAAACACACCATAAAGTATTTACCTAATTTTTTTTATTTAAAATTGTAGCGAAGGTAGACCTAATTATAATTAATAACCAAAATTCAATGGTTATTGTTTTTTATTTGTACTTTAGTATTTTTGATTTTCATATTCAATAAAAAGACTGTGTTCTTCGGTATTAACGGCTATTACGAAAATAAAGTCACATTTACACTAAAACATCATATAAAAAAAACTGCTAAAACGTTCTAAATTCCCGTTTTTCTTATTATCGGATTCAAAAATACTCAAAAAAAGTCTTGATTTCTAAACTACATGCATGAACATGTGTCTGGACGTAAAATTCTTTCACTTCGAGTGCGGGAAGATTTTTCAAATGATTTTAAGGAACAAGTCCTAGTTAAATTGAAGATCATCACCACCGAGCTGCATGACTTAAAGGTTTAGACTATTGCTGAGCATTCACTCCATAACACCCCATCCACCATTCTCACGAATCTTAAAGGAAGATGAAGAGGGCCTTCCGTGATATCTTTCGATGTAGTTCAGAGGGACTGCCAGTCTCCACTACCCTTAGTACTGGTGGGATTTTTTAATTTTTTTTTGTTATCACCAAATGCCTTGTAAGTTGCAAGTTGCAGTAGCTAACTAAGAATTAATAATTAATAATTTTGTTCATAGAAAATCCTAACGAAACCTTCATGGTTTATCATAAAAAAAATGAAGATACTTTCCTATTAGAATTACTTAACAAATAAATAAGCGTTTAAACGCCTTAGAAACCAATTGACAAATGAAAAGTTGAATAGAAAACAAAGAAACAATCAGTTAATGCTAATCAACTGTAGGGCAAACATCTAAACTTTTAAAATAGGTCTGAAAATATAACTTGACAAGGTGAAATTTCACTGGAGGAACAAAGGTTAGACGTGATCGGATATAAAAAGAAACGAGCTAGTGAGAAACGAGATGTGTATCTTCATTGACTCACAGGATTTAATTTAAGAGCGGAAAAGTACCAAACTAAATGAGAACATCTACAGAGAATATTAAATTACCGAATACCTTCATAAACGTACGACTATAATGTTAGAATCATAAAATTGAGATACACAATAGACCGTTAAGAAGTAGGTGGTTAATGATATTATTTACAGGCCATGGAAAAAATAATTGAAGGAAAAATATGAACCACTGTAACATGAAAATGAGAACGAGGTGAATCACAATACCTCAATGATATGAACTGTTAAATTATATACCGTATCTGTTTTCAAAAATTAAATAAATGATTGCTATATCGTTGATAAATAAAGGTGATATCAAATTATTTTGCCACCTTTCTGATTGAAATTGATCTTCTGATGTATTGTGCATAGTTGTCAACAACAATCTTTCAAAATTAGCGCAATACACAAATTATATGACAACACGACTCCTTTTGGACATATCCACCAGGGGTCACAAGAGGCGCGTGACGCGTGACGTTCCACTTTTCGCTTTTATATTCTAGTAATCTTTTTTCCTACAGTCGATAAAGAAGTTTCACTTCAAAAAATAAAATGAATCTCTAGGCTGGAGCTTTTATGCAGTGTGTGTTTAATATTGTGCTTCAATTGCTTTGTGTAAGCACTCTTTTTCGTCCATTCATCAGCCTGGAGGTTTATTTTATATTATTTTCTGTTTATCGAACCTGTCCAATTTTAACGTCAAAATTTTTCAGTATTTCACTATTTTGTAATAAAGCATGAATATACATATTCATCGATACTACATTTACATTCTGCATAAAAAAAATACCGAGAATATAGTATGATATCCTCCACTGTATCATGTTCATACTGAAATTTTGTATTTAGTATGCTGTCAGTATCCTAACTATCCTAACCAATATTATAAATGTGAATGTGAGATAGTTTGTTTGTTTGTTTGTTTGCTACCATTTCAGGCCTTAACTACTCAACCGATCATAATAAAATTTTGTAAAC